TTGGAACTGCAGGGAGGTCTCCCCTCAGTCTCCTCTGCTCCAGCTGAACACCCCAAGTGCCCTCAGTGTCCTCACACGGCTTCAAATCCAGGCCCTTCCCATCTCCATTTCCCTCCTTTGGACACTCTCCAGTGGCTCAACACACCAGTGGCACTGAGGACTCGGGGCCAACTGGCCATGGATGTCCCTGTGCTCTTTGGTACCTCAGAGCACGGCATCTTTGAGCACGGAGTGCGAGGGGATGTGCAGTGGTGTGACAGCCTGGCTGTCCATCTGGGAGAGAGCCGAGTCCAGGCTATGACAAGACACAGTAAGTGGATGAGACAGATTGAAAGAAGAGCTGAGAAGGATGAAATGAGGAACTAAGCAAGTGATATTGCAGGTGTACACAGTCTCAATAAGCTTTTTCCTGTAGCCATTATCTGACTGGGATGCTGGAAGAGCACTCTGAGGAGAGTAATGGAGCGTGGAAGTGTCATGTTGCAAACAATTGAAATGTTCTGGATGCATGGATGAAATTCTCTTGAAATTTGTGCTGAAGGTTTTGCTATTTTTGGAAAGGCAAATAAGCTTCTTAAAGTGGCAAGTGTTTGAATGTGCCTTAATTAGACCAAAATGTAAACTTTTTTTCTTATTATTGTTTTTTTTCTTTTTGAAGATGGGCCAAAGTTGGGAGAGCTTGAGAAAGAGGTGTCAAAGTAAAGCAGAGCTAAATGCAGGTGAGGGAAATGTAAAAACTACTTTACAAAACCCCAAGTTGTTTTATGATCTGAACAAGAGAGATCAGTGCTGGAAACTGTAATATGGTTCCTACATGGCCATGCCAACAACACAGAGAGCACTGGTTCAGCAAATCACTTGCATGTAAGCCAGTCTAGCCAGTAAATGGTTCATCTGATGATTTGCTGCTTTTATTACTTAGCTGAGTTTGTGTTTTCCTACTCTCTGTCTCTCTTTAGTGACACTTTCAAATTGCAGCATTAAATGAATTTGTAATATTGTCTTATTGAGGAAAATTACCTCTCCAGAGATTTGTGGTATTGTCATTATTCCTGAAGATAATCCTTACTTTCTAGCATCTTGGATTCAGTGTTATCATTCAGTGTTGTGACTTGATATCTTGGTGAAGTTTTAAGGCACCTTCCCACAGCAGGTCATGGCCACAGCAGTGTCACAGGAAGAACTGCCAGCATGGGGGCCCCAAGGCCAAAGGTACAAGCCAAAAGAAGGGGGAACCCACTTATATGTTTTTGAAGTTGGAACTGGATGATGCCCCATCCCTGGAAGTGTCCAAGGCCAGGTTGGATGGGGCTTGGAGAAACCTGGTTTAGTGGAAGGTGTCCCTGCCCATGGCAGGGGATGGATCGAGATAGGCTTTAAGGTCCCTTCCAACCCAATCCACTCTGGGATTCTATAATCTAATTCACAGACCTTTCTCACTTACATTAACCAGGGCCTGCATCACACAGTTCCCATCACAGTCAATCCTGAAACCGAAATAGTTGGAGATGCACACCCAGGGCAGTACAGGAACATGAGAGCACCCTGTAACACACCAGCTGATCCCACAGACATGCCCTTTACAGCACCCAGATGGGTTCTCTGCTCAAGGCAGGGCTTCAGAGCACCCTTAGCTTTGAAGACACAGACAAGCCCCTGGTATGTGGTAGGTGCTGATGGCTGTCCTGCCCTGGGGACTGGCTGCTCAACCTCAGGGGAGCAACAACAGCCGTTCCCTTCCGAATCTCCAGCCAGGTTCTCAGCAAAGGAGGAAGAGGCTTCAAGAGCTGAGATGCTGAACACGCTGAAACCCAGCTGTGTTACCAAAGAGTGTTATTTCTTCTTTAAAGATCCTTTCAAGAAACTTGATGAATTAAAATGCTTTTCAAATCATAGAAGAAACTGCATTTCCATCTCGCGCTCCCGAAAGGAGCCGCAGTCATTACTGGAGGAGCTGACGCTTGTCTGCTCGTGATGGATGTGTACGAGGGAGAAGTGAAAGTTCCTTTTATTCTTAACAGCCTAATGCCACAGTCAGAGTTTCAAGCTCTTAATCAATCACTGTCAGGCAGTGTCACAGTCACTAAGCACCACAGTTAGAACTGCACTCCCCTATTACTCCCGTTACTGCTCCTGCTGCTAAACGGGCTCTGCTTCAGAGTTCCTTTCATCAGGAGACAGGCCCAGAGTGTGTGAAAAAGTGTTTTGCTGAAAAGACTTGCTGGGCTTTGAGGCATCCAGATGTCTGCTGTCTTCTCAGCTGGCTCCAGTGGGCAGATGGCGGGGAAGGGACAGTTTCTGCAGAGGGGGCAGAGTCAATAGAGTTGAAATGCGATATATTAACTGCACGAAGGGAAGGGAAGAGAAGGAAAAAGAGTGGGCTGAAATATGGCATTGGGGGTGAATCTCCCAGGTCTGGTGTAGTTCCTGTCTCTATTCCTGGAATTACTAAAGCATGCCAGCTGGGATGGGAGGATGGCACAGCTGTGCCACCACTGCTGTTCTAACCCTGCTGGAGTGCCATGGAGGGGGCTGAGGTTGTCCTTCAGCAGTGCTCGTCAGCTCTTGACCTTCAGCTTTATTGCAGTCTCTAAGGTGAGGACTGAAGTTTAAATCAAGCCAAACAGATGGCTTTGGTCACTGAACTTCCTGCTGCAGCCTCACTGCATTGCTTCCTCCCCTGCCTTCACCTTCTTCATCCTGGACAGATTGCCTAAAGGAGATAGGGAGAAGAGTTGTTCTACAGACAAACTGCTTCTAGAAATAGGAAAGCAAGAGAAGGCTTTTTAAGGGCTTGCTGTTCAGTGTGGCCTCGATTTTTTTTTTTGGAAGAATGTAAGGTTTTTAAACCCAGTTGCAGCGTGAAAAGGCTGATGGTGGAAAAATCATTTGGTACCTGGCAAAGCAGCATAGTTTGCTACTCTGAACAAAACACTGAGAGATCCTGTGAAAATCTGTGCTCATTCCCTCCTGAACAAGAGTCTCTGGGAAAAGATTATCATGCAGCTTGGGAGTTGGAAGGTTCTCCCCCTGCATGCCCCTGTTTGGGTGCAGACACTGTGCCTGCAGTTCTTCCACCATCGTGTCCAACAGAGATGGAGCCACGAGGCAGTGGAAGGCTCTGCCTTCTTCTCCATTTTCCACAGCTCTCAGCACTGCTTTGATGCTCAGAGAGGAGTTTGAAGATGCACTGAGCATATTCCTTCCCTTCTTCCAGACAAGAACTGCAGGCTGTGCCCAAGTTCCCTCCTGGAGATCCTCCTGAGCAGCCCCAGGGGCTCCTGGCTGAGGCCCCTCCTTCCTGCAAGGCAGAGATGTGGGCACTAGTGAGTGTAGTATCTGCACCGGCGTCTGCCCAATAAATACCGAAATAAACTCTACGTGGACCAGCTAAATGTTATTACTTTAAATGCTTACACATTTTTTTTTCCTCTCCACTGCTCTGGAGCTCCTCCTTACCCACGCTCTGCAGTGGTCCGTGACCACCACCTAGTGACCAGCTCTGCTCCGCTGCTGCCTGCTGAGAGGCACAGCATTTGCACAGGGGGCTCTCCAAAATTGTCACTCCTTGAGACAAAATTGCTCTGTTTTGCTGCACACAGCCGTGAGGAGCTGCAAAGAAAATAAACAGTCCCCTGTGCAGCACTGCTCTGATGTGACTGCTGTCAGTAGGTCTGCATCGACCTCTGTAGAAATGTTTGTCCACAAAGTGTTATTTTTTGTGTTTATTAGTCCTCCAGCCTTATTTAGGTGGGGCAAAACCTGTGTTAGTACAGCAGAGACTGTAAGTACCCAGGGAGAATTCACATTGCATGTTTGTGTGTTCCTTCTGTGCCTGTCACCACAAAACCCTTGGGGAGAGGCTGTGCAGGCAATACCTCAACCCTCTGGTGTGCTTTGATGTCCTTATCCCCTCGTGCCTGTATTCCCTCCTGGACACTGTTTTTGCTGGGAACTTTTTCTCTCTCCCTGAGCTGGACTCAGCCCTGGGGGTCTGTCCCCACAGGAGCCCTCCCCAGGGTGCAGAGTGTCCCTGAACAATCCTTGCTGCCCCCAAAAGATTTGCACCTCCCAGTGCAAGGCACACAGGTCTTATGGAATTAATCCAAATGTGGCCTGTGAGAAAGTCATTATGTTTTTTTCAAGTGCTTTAGGAAAAATCCTCACAACAGAAACCAAATCCAGAAACAAACCACAGTGATGTCTTATGACCAAATAAACACCTTGAGAAGCCCAGAGAAGACTTGGGCAAACACCTGGCTGGTCCTGAGCCATGTGCATAAAAGCACTGTTTCATTTAGGATTTGGGGGCCACATTCAGCACTAGACACACCCTCCTATCCCCTGCTTCCATCCCTGTACTCATTTCCACAGCTCCAAGCAGCCAGGAGATGTTTTTTGACGTGGAGTGGTGTGTGTTAACAACCAGAAGAAGCAGGTTAACAAGGAAAACCTGTCAGTGATCCTGTAGGTATTGTTAGTGTTGAAAAATGAGAAGGGGGCAGAGGAAAGCTGTGATTTATTGTGGTGTACTGTGAAAGCAGAATCGACATCAGCTGCTACAAAGCTGACAAATCGATATGGAAGCCTTCTGAAATCACACTTCAGTGAAAATATTATATATAGGTAGTTTAGAAACAGTTTGGAAAGGTGCCTTTTTTTTTTTTTTTTTTTTTTTTTCCTCCTTAGAAAGAAGCAAAAGGTTATTTTTTGTAGGATTTCAACTTTGTTCTCAGCTGAAACTTGTTAATGATAGGCAAGGTCATTTATCACCTTTAAAAGATGGTTAGATGGTCCTGGTCCTAAAGACACGAGTCTGAAGAGAAACTGCCACAAAGATTGAGTGATTTGCAGAGGCAACAGTGATCAGTGGCAAAGCAAGATATGAAAGCCTGGTTTGGGAATTTGAAATCTTTTTCAGTTTTACTGTTTCAAGGTAAGTTACACAGAGCAATAGAATGGTTTGGGCTGGAAGGGACCTTAAAGCTCATTTTATTCCCCCCCCTGCCATGGGCAGGGACACCTTCCACCAGCCCAGGTTGCTCCAAGCCCTGTCCAACCTGGCCTTGGACACTCCCAGGGATGGGGCAGCCACAGCTTCTTTGGGCAACCTGTGCCAGGGCCTTCCCAGAGAATCCCAGAATCCCAGGATATGCTGAGTTGGGAGGGACCCCCAAGGACCATCCAGTCCAACCCCTGGCCCTGCACAGGCCCATCCCCAAGAGTCACCCCCTGTGCCCCAGAGGATCATCCAAACCCTCCTGGAGCTCTGGCAGCCTTGGGGCTGTGCCCACTGCCCTGGGGAGCCTGTTCAGTGCCAACCACCCTCTGGGGGAAGAACCTTTCCCTGAGATCCACCCTGAGCCTGCCCTGACACAGCTCCAGCCATTCCCTGGGGCTGTCACAGGTCACCCTCCCTCACAGGGAGGAATTTATTCCCAATACCCCATCTAACCCTGCCCTCTGGCAGTGGGAAGCCATTCCTCCTTGTCCTGTCCCTCCATCCCTTGTCCCCAGTCGTTCTCCAGCTCTTTTGGAGCCCCTTTAGGCCCTGGAGGGAACTCCAAAGCTCTCCCTGGAGCCTTCTCTTCTCCAGGCTGCCCAAGCCCAGCTCTCAGCCCGTTTCCAGAGCACAGGGGTTCCAGCTCTGGGAGCAACTTAGTGGCCTCCTCTGGACTTGTTCCTGCAGGCCCACAGTGTTCCTGTGTCGGGGGCCCAGAGCTGGATGCTGTGCTCCAGGTGGAGAGGAGTAAATCACCTCCCAAAGGTATGGATTGGGTGTGGTTTGGCTGCAGACAAACATTTCTGGGCACGTGTTTCCTATGAAAAGTCACACTGTGATAAAAAGGAGAACGGGCTCCTCCGAGACACGAGGGGGCACAAGGCACACTTATTTTCCTGCATAAATAAGGAGGGATTTGCACTAGAGGAGAGCCACCTAAATAATCTCGTTGCTGAGGGGAGGTTGGTTTCCTTGGGCCTGGGAGGAGACGAGGGCAGTTCAGAGCACAGCTCAGAACTCCCAGCCCTGTCCCACGGTTTGGGCAGGTTGATCGTGCCTTGGGACCTCGGCCAACCAACCTGATTAGTGAGGCACTTACTTATTCAACACTTGTTTCTAACAATCCCAGGCAGATTAAAACCTGGCAAACTGGCTGCTGGCTGCTACAGTGAGTGATGCAGGGGATCATAAATGGAGCAAAATTAATCCAACTTCCTCTTGGAAACTTTGCAAGTATGCATATTAAATCATGCTCGAATCACGAGGAATATAAAAAGTGCCCGTTCACCAAAACACGGTGCCCATTTACAACTTATGTACCCCATAAATCCACACTTTACAAGGCATGTAAATCTTATGCAGGCCCACCTCCACAGTAAATCAAAATTAAGAGAATTTGTTGTGTGCCAGAAGCTACTTCATATTTCTACACGGGCTGTTTTGTTATAAGAAATCCTCCCAGAGAACCTGCCCTGTGTGGCAGGAGGGAGACCCTGCCCAAGGAAAAAAATCAAATGAAGGAAAAATTCTCAAGGATGGCCCCTCAGATTTATATTTTTATTTGTAAACTTCTGTATTTGTACTGACTTGAGGGATTCTTGTTTTTAAACATTTTTAAGAGCTCCTGGGCTGTGAGCCAGGATGTCAAGCTTCTACCTTAATTATTTTCTTAGTGTTAAAAATAAATAAATACACCTGCATCAATACTGAAAAAACCCAGAATATGAATGCTGAGGTGGGTTGGATGAGCCTGGGAAAATATCCCCAGCTCTGTAGAATGCTCTTGCCTAAAAAGAATGAAATTTTTATATAAATAAAGGGCATTGTGGTATGACTGAAGGAAACATCTGAGTGCATTGTACCTCTTTAAAAATAACAAACAGTTATTTGATTCTTGTGATTTCATTTGTTACTTTGGCTTTATTCTACTTGGTTTTACCCTCAGCATTAAATAGCTCACTTGTGCAATTAATCCTCCCACCTGCTATGAGAGTTCTCTGGCTTGGTTTTATTTTGGAGGTTTGTTTTGTTTTGGGTTTTTTTTGAGGGGGAAGGATGGGTTGTTTTGGGTTTTTTTTTGTGTGTGATGTGTTTGGTTTGTGGGTTTAGCTTTGGGATTTTTGTTTGGTTTGGGATCTGGGTTTTTTGTGGGTGGATTTTTTTTTTCTGTTTGTTTGGTTGTTTGGGGGATTTTTTGCTGTTTCATTTTTTTGGGGGTGTGTGTGAAATACCTCAGAGTTGCTTATTTAAGGCAAGGAATTCTATTGGTGATTTTGAGACAGAATCGCTGGTGTTGTCATGGCAAGGTTGTTCTGATACTCCTCAGAATGCTTTTGAGTGTCTTTATTTTTCTTCTTCCAGGCACAGAAATTTAACTACCCCTTGCTAATAGTTTTATACCAAGTATTGACAGTAACATGACATTAAAACCAGGGTTTTTCAAGCTGGATTTTGGTTTTTTACCATGTTCAGTGCTTTTGCAAGAGGGGGAAAGGGCTCTTCTGTGCTTTCCTACCTTAGGTTAGAGCCTGATTTTCCATTTAGAGCTGCTTTTTCCTCCAGGTGCACTGGCCAGGTGGGGTTTTTTGCTTGTTTGCATCTGAATCAGGACGGGACCAAGAAGAGCAGAGAGCTCTTTCTCTAAGAGACTGCTGTTGGCAATGGCAGAGGTTGAGAACTGTGTTCTCCTTCCACAAATGGGCAAGCAAAAGGCAGGAGTGGAAGTGCTGGAGTGAGGAACAGGCAGGAACTGGGCTGGGAACAGCACAGAGGCTGAGGCAGTGAGTAGCTTTAAGAATAATATGCTTTAAAACTTCTCATCCTCTTTCTCCTTTTAAAGGAAAGGAGGTTCTTGTTGGGCAGTGTTATTTATTTCAAGATTTGGAGCACTGGATTTCTGTTATGTTAAAGAGCATTAGGACAGTTCAGATAAGTTTAAATTGCAGCCAAAGGTGTGACTGCCATAGAATGGGACACATTGCTGTGAGCAGCATAAAGTCTGTGCTGTTGTGTGCACTGAGGCCAAGAGAGGAGCTCAGAGGATTTTTAGGATTCCATTTGTTCTGCAGAAGAGGAAAACACATAATTTAGCTGAGAATTAGGGTTAGGGAGCAAGGTAACGTGCAGTTAAGCAAGGACTCGAATGGAGTTGAAATACAGAGATGGCATTAAGGAAATTTCCCCCTCTCTGGGTGTTGCCTTTATCTCATATGTCTGTGTGAGGAGTAAAAGCAGGTCAGAACCAGTGTGGAAAGAATGAGGGTTTGTGCTAGAACTGCCTTTTGGGGTCTTGCACAGTAGATGGAGTGTTCTGAAGCCTTCCCAGTTCACATTATGTGGAACTCTGCACACAGTGGAGTTTGCTTCTAACCCAGCTCTGGTTTTGCCTCAGTACTGAGGAAATGGGTGGGGAAAAGGTGCTGTGGCCTTTATAGCTGCAGGCATTGATTTTAATGTGGGGGGTTTTGTCTCCCTGTAGTGACGCTGCTCACCTGCCTTTCAGCTGCATGGAGAAATGCCTGGTTTTACTCTGCTGCTGACAGGCAGTTCTTAACCAGCTGAAAACTCTACCTGCTGGCAGGGCTGAGTCCCAGGGAAATCCCTGCCAGCTGCATATGGCAAATAAACATTATGGATTTTAATGAGCCGTTCCATGGCCACATAAACCAGCTGCCTGGAAGTAACACTGCTGCTGCTGCTGCTGCTGCCCATGGGTTTAGAGGAGAGCCCCTGGCAAACTGGTGGGCCTCTTCCAACCCACAAATATCCTTATCCTGCAAGGATCATGTCCTCTTGCACCCACTTTGCCAACATCACTCACTGGTGATGTGAAAGGAGGTTCTCGGGTGTTGGTGATAAATAAATCCTCTGCCATATAAAGCAGTGCAGCTCAGACTCAGAGCCTGCTCACCAAAAAATAAATAAGTTTATCAAGCACTTTCCAAGAACAGATTTTTTTTTTTTTTTTTTTTTCAAAACATCAGTTCCTTCCTCCTTATTTCTCAAGAGGCTGCCACCCGGAACATCACATTTTGCTGCAGTCAGTTTTCAGAAGTACAAACTAAAGCATCTGCAAAAACAATTCTATCAAGTATGTGATAGATCATGTTCAGGGGGAATAAAAAAACCCCAACCCCCTACATTGGCAATGCTGTTACTGATGGCAGAGTAGTGTGGTTTGTCATCTGTATGGGCTATGGTCTTTGTGAAGGAGGATCACAATGTCCCACAATGGTTTGGGTTGGAAGGGACTTTAAAGCTCATTTCATTCCACCCCCTGCCATGGGCAGGGACACCTCCCACCAGCCCAGGTTGCTCCAAGCCCTGTCCAACCTGGCCTTGGACTCTTCCAGGGATGGGGCAGCCACAGCTTCTCTGGGCAACCTGTGCCAGGGCCTGCCCACCCTCACAGGGAGGAATTTCTTCCTGATATTTAATCTAAATCTGTCATCTTTTAGTTTAAAAACATTTCCCCTTGTTCTAATACTGTCTGCCCTTAAAAATATGAATTCCTCCTGTCTGAGCTGAGCCCAAGCTGCGTTCCTGCCTCGAGACTGGGCACATCCCACTGCTCTGATTCCCAACCCACGGGAAAGGGAGCAGAGCTCTGTGTGACTGTGCATAACCTGTGCCCAAGAGAGGAGAGGAAGAGGTAGAGAAATGCACTTTGGAGGTTTCATTAAGGGCAAAATCTTTTGTGTTCTCCTGCCCTTCCAGATGACTAGGGCCATACAGTGAAGGAGAAGCACGTGGCAGGGTTGTTTCCCTCTGTCAGCCCTGCAGGTCTCTCCAGGTTTGTCACCCACCTTACCCATCACAAACAGCTGAAAGTTTATTCAGCTCATCCTCCCGAAGGCTTTAGGATCCTCTGGATGAAGGTGGGGGGTGCCAGATAAGCAGTGCAATAACAGCAATAACAATCCAAGGGCATTTGTTAACTCTCCGGGCTGCACATTTAAAGAGCCCTCGACTCAGTTTTGCAAAACGGAGATTTGAGTTTTAAATATCAACCTTCCCCGTTCTCAGAGGAATTATGT